GCCAGGCGCTGGCGCTGCAGAACTTGCTTTTGCAACAGTACCACTTCAGACAGCAGCAACAGCAGTGTTCAGATGGAGAGAGCGACAACTCGGCGGATCGGCAGGTGTGCGCCTCCACAGCACATGCGACGCCAGGAAGTGATGCCAGGATGCGTCAGCGCCTGCCAGCGCTCGCCATGCGCACACTCAACCGCCTCGCAGGTCGGCCTTGCATACGCTCGTGTGTATTTGTGTGTGAGTGTGCGTGTGTGTGCTTGTGTGTGTGTGTGTGTGTATTTGTGTGTGCGTGTGAGAGAGAGAGAGAGAGTGTGTGTGTGTGTGTGCTTGTGAGAGTGGTTAAGTGGGTGAGTGGGTAAGTGAGTGAGTGGAAAAGTGAGTAAGTGAGGAGAGGGTGGGTGGATGGGTGAGTAGCATGTGCATGTGCGTCAATAACGTGTGCATGCGTACCGTACCTACCAGCCTATCAGTCCATTTGTCTGTTTATTTGCCCCTTGCTTGTGTGCTTCACGATTCACTGCGTATATCCACGGCGTTGGTCTCCCTCTCCATCATATTCATCTTGCTGCTTCTTGCGTGTTTGTGTATTTCAGGCATGACTGCGTCTCCGGTGGATGTGGGCGCGACCATTGCGGTGACGAGTGCGTGCGTGTCCTCCTCATCGCAACACATCTTCTCCAACTCGCCCTGGATCGACACCATCCTCGCCGACATGGCAGAGGCGTCAACGCCAAAGCTCACCTGGTGCGCGTCGTGCCGTGCGTCTGGTGTGTGGCGTCAATGATGGCTGATCTTGATCACTGCCCTCCCAATACATCCCACATACAGCCACACGCGCGCGCACAAACATGCACGCACACACACATGCACACACTTGCCCGCATGTTGGCACTTGCACTCACGTCACCGCACCTGCATGTGCGTCCTGCCTCTGTGCATGCAGCTTGCTCGTCCTTGCGCAGCAGCTGCTTGACCAGCGCCCAAGTGTTGTCGCTCCGTACCTGTTACAGGTGAGTCATTGCCATCTCCCCTGCAACACCTCTCAGGTGTCGTGCGCGACTGCAACACTGGCTCTTGTGTGTGTGTGTGTGTGTGGGTGGGTGTGTGTGTGTGTCTGTCTGTCTGTCTGTCTGTGCGTGTCTGTCTGTCTGTCTGTCCGTCTGTGTGTCTGTCTGTGTGTGTATGGCTTGTTTTACTTCATGTGCTGTTTCTGTCTTGTCTCATGTGTAGGCTGCGAGTGCTTGTTCTTCGGTGCTGGAAATGGTGGACGCGCACCAGCCTGTCCGCACCATCCTCGCCCCCATCCTGGTCCGTAGCGGCTGCAATACGCCTCCGTGAGACTGCACTTGGACGTGTATGCGATGCGCTGTGTGGGCGGCTGCTGCTGTTTGATTATGTCTCCTTGTACTCACCCACGGTGTGTGTGCACGTACGCCTCCACCCCCCCCCCTAATGTATATGCGCGCGTGTGTTTCTGCGTGTAGGATGATGTGATATCGCGTGTGCGGAATGGTGGGTGTGGCGGTTTGGAGCGCTGGGACTGGCCCATCAAGTACGAGCTTCCACAGGGCACCGAACAAAGCACAGCCCTTGACCCACGGCGCCCACACAAGTGAGTTGTCGCACGCGGTATTAGGGTGCGTGCAATGAGTGACTGTTAAGGGAGGGATGTACATCTTGTCGTGGCTCCGTGTGAGAGTGTCAGAGTGGGTGTGGAGGCCCGTTGCGTTGCCTGTGTGTGCGCACATGTACATTTTCTCACGTGCATGGCTTGTCTTTTTCAGGCTGCCGAATGCCAACATCCTTCCGCTGGCGGCCATTCTGCCTTGCACCCTTACTGCTGTGTGAGTGGAGTGAAATGAATGGGGAATGGGTGTGTTGGACATGCTGTCGGTGGAGTAGTTGTGAGGTCGTGTGATTGTGTCGAATCAATACAAGGTGTGCTATGAAACAGTGGTTTGGTATTGAAGGATGAGGGCTGTGAAGGGTGTGTGTGTGTGTACAACACAACAGCAACAGCAACGAAAAAGCAACAGGAAGGATTCCAACATAACGGTTGAACATGAGAGGGGGGGGGTAGGGATGAAACTGGATAAACGATCGATGGAAGGAACTGACATAACACACGAATGACAAACAAACAAGCAAAGAGTACGGCGTGGTGATTTAGAAGGTTTATCACTGTGCTGTTCTCTCTGCATCTTACTTACCCAAGGACCAAGAGGGCGTGCATGCACGCATACACACATACATACGTACACACACGCAAAGCACACAGACACAGACACACACACACACACACACAAGCGCGCACTTGCACATCGATGTACCATGCAAAGCAAAAGAAACCTGTTCTCTTGCACACAAAGCCGTAAACACGTGGTTCCTTGAAAGTCCTCTCTCACTCCTACAAAACTGCTTCCATTTCTGCCTTCTTGCACAATACAGCACAACAGCACCTCGCTCAGCATGACGACCATGGCAAGGAGGGTTGTTGCATGGTGAGTTGTGAGTTGTGAGTGCTTCTGTTCTTCCGTGCCCAGGATTTGTGTGGCGCTGGCGGTAATGTGCCGTGCCCTCTTTTGTTTGATTTGCCGTGCCACTTCTTCACAATGTTTGTTCGTCATAGGCTCATCATCATCCTATTATGCACCACAAACCAACCTGCACCACGACGCCAAGGTACATGCACAACTTGCGAACCAGGCCAATTCGAACCAACATGGGCACCAGCGCCGTCCTTATGGCCATTGGAGACACCATCGCCCAGCAACGCCTGGAAGACGTGCGTATTTGTGTGCGTGTGTGTGTATGTGTGTGTGTGTGCATGCGTGTGTGTGTGTGTGCTGTGTTGGTTCCACAACATGGTGTCAGAATCGAACCCTGCACTGCCACGCACTCACCTCTATGCACATGATTGCCTTGCCCCCCCACAGAGCTTGCCGAAAGGTCACGTGCGCCACACCATCATCCCTAAGAACCCGCTGTTTCCACAGGGCCTGCATCTTGACCTCGCGCGCACGTGAGACACACAATCACAACGGCGTTTGTTTCGCATGTCCACGCACGTGCTTACAGTTATTCACACACACACACACACACTCACACACACACACACACACACACTCACACACACACACACACACACACACTCTCTCTCTCTCTCTCTCTCTCTCTCTCGCGGCACTCTCTCATGCACACACAAAATCCACTGCCCTGTTGCCCTTTCCTCACCACCCCACCTCACGCCATGCAGGAGTGTGATGACAACCTGGTCTGCGTTGATGGGGATTTTCTGGACCATCTGGTTCCGGCGCATGGATCTGCTGTTCGCTGCTGCGCCCCACCGCCTCCTCGGTGTGGCTGGCAAGGTCTGTTCGCAAGTGCACTGTGGGCGCTTGTTCGCTTGCTTCACAACAACGCCACGGTCGCATGGAAGTTGGTTGCGTACAAAGACACTGGGCGCTGCCTGCAACGTTTACGACGGTGTATCGACCTCTCACGTGCTCAGCACATGCGCATGCTGTCACCCGCATGCAGGTGGCCACAACGGCGGTGTTTGCACAGCCCTTAACCAACACGACGTTTTTGTCTGGCGTTACGGCCATCGAGGAGGTCCTCATCTTGGGAACGACAGACTTGGGCAAAGGTGCGGCGTCAGAGGTTGCGTGCGCGAAGACGTGTGCCTGTGTGCGTATGTGTGTGTGTGTGTGTGCACGCGTGTGCGCGTGCCTGTATGTATGTGTGTGCCTGTATGTACGTGTGTGTGTGTGTGTGTGCGGATGCCGGGACAATGCGTTCCCTCCCCCCACACAGACACACAGACACACAGACACACGCACTTGGCTGTCTGTCGCTTTTGGCTCACGCACGTGCCTTATGGTGCCTGCTGCAGTTGCCGAGGCGGCAAAGGAAAAGCTGCGAGCAGAGCTGTGGAACACGCTGCGCTCCAGTTGGATGTTCTGGTCACCATGCAATGTTATGACATGGTGAGTTGTCGTGCAACCTATCTCCCTTGCGGCATCATGTGTGAGGGGACACGAGAGAGCACGGACGGGGAGAGGAGGCGATTGCCAAACTCTGGGCTGTTGTCTGTCGTGATTAACCCGCATCCACCTGCCATGATACTCTCTCACTCACCCACACCCACACCCACACCCACACCACACACACACACACACACACACACACACACACACACACACACACACACACACACACACACACACACACACACCCACACCCACACACACACCCACACACCCACCCACCCACACACACACACACACACACACACACACACACACACACACACACACACACACACACACACACACACACACACACACACACACGCACACACACACACACACTTACTTCCGGTCATCCACGATGCCTGTCCTCACCGCCTTCATCTTTAGGACCTTTTTTCCTGCGCACACGCGTGTTGCGTTTGGCGGCGTTGTGTCGATGGTGTGGAACGTGTACTTGAGCTTCGTTGAACACCGGGCGCAGGGCGAGACGTTGCTCAGTGCCCTTGAAATTGGCGACGAGCATGTGGACAACAGTAACAGTGGCACAGACACTGGCGCCAGTGGTGGTGGTGGTGGTGGTGGTGGTGGTGGTCGTGTTGCTTAGTTTTGTTATCAGCCCCTCTCTGCTTTCCCGCTTGGCTTGTCGTCGTGTCTGCGTCGCTCCTGCATCGTAGGCCGTCTGTTATTACCTGTGTCTGCCCGTGTCTTTCTTTGCACCCGTGCTTGCTTGCTTTGGCTTTCTCACTCGTGACTATCGTAGGCTCTTTTCATTCAGAATCACATGTAAACGCAATCAACAAGCGACTGCTTATGTTGCTACTTGCCAACACACACGCACTCAGACGCACACACATAGACAGACAGACACGCACACATAGACAGACAGACAGACACATAGACAGACACACACACACGCCAATTTGTCATCGTTTTGAGCGCGTGGCTGTGCTCGCTGCCTTCCGCTTGGCATTTGCGCGCTGGTGTCTCTTCTGTGTCGCGTTGTCCGTCTTCTTGTCCTTCTTCCTGTCCGTTTTTTCCTTCTCGCTGCCAGCACTACCAGGTCCAATATGCTTGAGGGCTTCGCGCCTGGAGAGCGCGGAGATGCGCTCGTCGTGCTGCGCCACAAACGCCTGAACGGCCTCGGCGTTCACGCGCGCGTAATTCCGAAGCGCCCACCCAATTGCCTGAGAAGGTGGTATTGGCAACACGCAAGTGAACGAGTGCATGAGTGAATGAACGACTGTATACTCGCATGCCCCTGTCCGTCGTTCAACGTTGCATGGCATTTGCTGCAACCAGAAACCACACGAAACCACAAAGTCACACTCACTCAAGCACTCAAACCGCACACACACCCACACCCACAGTCACAAACACCCCCACAAACAAACACAAGCACACACGCACACCCACGCACACACGCACACAAACACACACACACACCACATGGTATGCACCTGCACACCATGTGCATGCGTCTGCTGTGGCCACCTTGTTGATGAAGAACTCAGTGCCACCCATGAGGGAGCTGCAGGCTTCGAAGAGGAATGCCTTGTCTGTGCTGTGTCTCTGCTTGAGCTGGCACAAGATGGCAGTGCGTTGCTGCCACAGGCTGTCTGATTTCAGCCACAAGCGCATGTGTTCCCGCATCTGTGGCGTGTGGTGCTGCCAGAACGCGCCACCGACGTGGGACGCCAGCAAGTCCACGGTATCCCACCACGGTTTCGTGGTCACCCAGCGCCTGAGCGCGCCGTCAATCTGGGCTGAGGCAGCTTCAGCATCCAGCTGTACCAGGCATTTCTTTGCTTGCGCGGAGCTGAGTAGGTCCACGGCGCAGTAGTGGAGTTCGCGCTCCTCCTCGTCTAGTGCGGTGTCCATCACGGCCACGTAAAAGCCCCAGTCCCGTGTGAGGTCAGGCGACAGCGCCGCCTGCGACTTTGCTGCGTTCGCTACGCTCCGTCGCGCCACAGATTTTACTCCGAAGAAAGGCGCCACTCCCTTCATGTACTGCTTCATGGCCTCTGCATCAGCGGGGTCGCCAAGCTCCTCCAACGCCATGCGCCAAGCACGCACCAGCCTCCTCGCAGCCGTCCCTGCTGCTGATGCAGCACCAACGCGATGAGTGGCCTGAGTGGCGGTGGTGCTCGCCACCCTGCTCACCATCCTCACACTCCAAACACACACGTTCAGTCCTTCTTCGGCATTCAAATTCTGAAATTTGATTCCATGCAAGATTAACCCCTTGTTTGTGAATCGAGCAGCAGCAACGAAGATGATGGAGGCGTTTGCGAGCGTGGAGGATGCAGCAGCACAGCAGGTTGGTTGGCGGTGGCGTGCACTGTGGCCTGTGGTGTGCACTATCGTTTCTGCCTTGGTTCATGTTGTGCTCAACACTTTCACACACACACACACACTCTCTCTCTAACACACATACACATGCACATACACACAAACACACCTTTTGCAACGTGACAGCTTGTGCACGGCGTGATTGATGGCGTTTGCGGCCAAGACCCTCCCTCATTCTCCGGCATCGCCACTGTCAGTGTGTTTGTGCGTGCGTGTGTGTGTGTATGCGTGTGCGTGTGCGTGTGCGTGTGTGTGTGTGCGTATGCGTATGCGTGTGTGTGTGTGCGTGAAAGTGCATGCGTGTGCGTGAAAGTGCATGCGTGTGCGTGAAAGTGCATGCGTGTGTGTGTGTGTGTGTGTGTGTGTGTGTGTGTGTGTGTGTGTGTGTGTGTGTGTGTGTGTGTGTGTGTGTGTGTGTGCGAGCGAGGTTTAGCGGTGTTTGGGCCTGTTGAGCTGATTGCACTGCGTGACTGACGCATGCGTGTGCCAACCAACACCCAATTACCAACCAACCTGGACAGGGGCTCTCCCTGCAACAGTGGACCTCGACCGTGAACACACTGACGCAGGCCATCGAGAAGCAATTTGGACGAGAGAATGGCACAGAAGAGGTGGAAAGTACATGCTGAATGCAGCGTGTCGTCATGCATGTCCCGTCTCTTGTGTATGTGTGTGTGTATGTGTGTGTATGTGTGCGTATGTGCATGCGTGTGCGTGTGCGTGTGCGTGTGCGTGTGTGCGTGCGTGTGCGCGTGCGTGCAAGTTACTTCGCCTCGTGTACTCAATGTGTGTGTGTGTGCATGGTTGCAGGTTGTGAAAGCATTGGAGCAGTCTGGTCTGCCGAGCGCCAAGGGCGCCGTTGTTCGCGCGTGCTTGGATGCGCGCTCGAACGATCTGCACAAGGGTACTCACCGTGCGATTGCCGTTTCACGCATGTGCACGCTCGCACCTGTTGTGGACTGTGAACGCCCTCGTATCTTCCTCGTGTGTGTCCGGTTCACCGTTGCCTCACGTGCCGCTCGTCCCTCTCTCCAAATCATTACTGCTGCAGCCTTGATTCGCAAAGCCTGCGCCGTGGGAGAGGCCTGCGTTGTTGACTTTGACTGGGATGTTCGGGTAC